TGAGCCTCCTAAATTCATATCCTTTTCTCAATTGTACAGGGTGCTTTCAAGAAGAGCTCAAGAAAGGCTCCGGAAAGGCTCCAAGCATTCTCGCACCACAGACCACTCAGCCAATTTGACCAAGATGGTCCCTCTCCACCCTTTCTGTAACGACACCTAAACGCATGCAGGTTAAGTCCCAGCAGCTGTTACCAGCTTCAGGTTTGGGAAGATTTAAATTATAGATGGGTTAAAATTAGCTTTGCTTTTCCAAGTTTTCAGAAGAGGCAATGTAGCTGAAGATGGGAAAGATATAAAATACATCAAGGTAACACCGACATTAGTGTTTTATTGTCAGTGGAACTGACTTCAGTATACACTGCAAAGTAAACGTATCTCTGTGGAACAGATCTTTTTGGTTCGTAAATTACAAAGTTTATGTAGCCTGTAGTCTTAGTATCTATTTGCACACCAGTCGCAGAAGCTCTGGCTGAATTGCAGATTTCATGACCAATTGGTGAGAATACTCCTTAGGAAAACACTCTCAGTTAAAGATGAGCAAATTTAACGAAGGTACCACCAAGAAACACAGAACCGTACTACACCATTAACTTTCTCAGTGCAATAGCATTGAGGTATGGAAATATAGAATGCTAAAACAATGATCAGTACAGAAATGCAAAATGCTAAAGCAATTACCATTTTTAACATGGTCAATATCTTAAGCTTCCCATCAATTTCAAACAGACCAAAATTTCACTTTATATTTACAGAAGTATTTTCAACACAGAAGTAGGAAAATGTATTAGGGGAGAGGAGCTTGAGGGCAGATCAACTCCTCCCACTTTTCTTAGCAACTTCTTACAGTTGCTTTCTCTCAGAGCTTGACCTTATTTATTTTTGTTTTCTCCAGAATGATTTTTAAGAAATTTCTCACAAATACCAGTTTGTTTCTTCTTTTAATCTTGCTTAATTGACAGCTGTCCTCTTTCCCCTCTTCCCATGTGGCTTTTTTGTTTATACCCCCTCCTTCTCCTTCCACAGCTTACAGGTAATTCCTCTTTTCCTCCATGTCACCTGCTAATCTTCTGGTTTCACTCAGTCTTCTCCCTTTCATCTTGTTATTCTTGTCCTCTTTGATCTACCTCAGAAACAAACTCCTATTTAATCTCTTGATAATGTGGGAAAGTTGTTCTCCTCCTCACCCTGCACTGTCTGTGGTGACCTCTCAAATTCTTTAGTTGAATGTTAGAAGATAGCTGCCTTCTGATGGTTGAACCATATTACTCCACCAGCTCAGAATTAATCTAGATTTGTGCAGGTTTAAACAGCCCACTTAATCCCACATGTCCTTTGTAAATTCAGGCAGTGCACTCAGCCAGATGTCTTCACAGGCAGATGATCAAACCCAGGAAGCCCTGACCCAGATGGATCCCAAAAACTAGGACAGTTCTAGTTTAAGTGAACTAAATCTATATGCAACTGTCTAAACCACATTCCATTCATATTTTGGGCCTAAGAGTATCTGAAAATGTACTGAAATATACTACCTTGTTTCACTTCAGCCATTAGAATCACTTGGGCAGCAACTGATTCTAAAACAAAGTCAGGCTGGCCCATGGCCAGGCACACCATGTTTATCTTCAGGGTACAACTGCTGGTAAGAGGAAGGGAAAACCAACCAAAAATCCCCAAAGAACAAAACCCTGTGATGACAGTTCCCACACATAATTTAAACCATAGGAGAATCAAAGTTAAGATTAGATCCCTCAATAACGTTGCTGAGTTGCTCTTCAAGCTGTACTGAATTTGGGATCTAAAAGACAAACAGAAGCTCCATTTGGTTAGTTCTGCAGAGATGTTTCTTCATTTAGTATTTTGAACATTAGGCAATAATTTACTTACCGTGAAGTATTATACTCACTGCACAGATTTAAACAAATACAAAATCTGCAGTATCACAGTTGGTCACCTCCCTCGTAACACACAATGCTAACCCACAGGTCTTTGGGTTTATGAGACTGGTTTGCTTCCTCTAGGATCATTCACTAGGATCAACTGCAAAACAGCGAATCTTCCATCCAGAGATTATTCCTAATGAATGCATTAACTACTTTATGCAGAAATACATCTACCTATATCATCAGTTAAGGCAAACAGATTAGAAGTCGATAAAGGATGCACTGTAATACAAAAACACAGTAATAGTGACATTTATTACAATACTGTTTAACTAATATACCCCTCCCCTTTTAAAACAGAAAAGTCTTTGAGAAGTCACAAGAACAAAGAGCCCTTAAAAACATTTTATGAAGCACTGTATTTCACTCTACATAGAATACTATATAGAAACCTAGAAGAGAAAAATGTTATTTAAAAAACCCACAGCAGAATAAATCTTTTTTTTTTGGTAAACTAACCAGTTTTTACACATTCAAATATTTTAGATTTTTAAGAAAAACACTCTTTTCTGAAAGTATCAACTTTCACTTCAATTTTGTATTTATAAATCAGACAAACATAGAAAGAGCTATTTAGTATTAATATTCTAATTGTCAAAGGGAAAAAAAAAACAGAAAAAAACCCCACGCAGCACAGCATTCACTAGGATTATCATTTTGGATCCCTAGTGTGCATGCTCTGTAATCAAAGTTCAAACAAAGTAAAATAAAATAATCAAATCTGTAGAGCAGGTGATGAAGAGTTACTTTGCTGACTCATTACAGATGTACATACAATTTCCAACGAAGGGAGCAGCACCCACTATGAAAGACAGCAGTGATGGAGGTGAGGGGAATGGACCAAAAACCCTGTTAGAGGCACCTCTTTGATCAACCTTCTGCTAAATCACTGCCTGCTGTCAATCAAAGACCGGAATTACCACACCAGATAGGTTAATAAACTTAGTTCTGAAGTCTTCCAGCAGATGTCCTCACAAGGCAGTCACCATTTAAAAAACAGACAGATGGGCAGGGAAGCAGACTTAAAATAAGGGTGATATAAATATATAAACAAATTCACAGTATTTAATTTCTTCTCAAATGGAAAACTTAAAAGCATAGGCAGCATGTTAAAAAACATAAGGCTCACATTTTAAAAACTAAAGGAAGAAAAAGGTCACCTGAACAAGTACATAACTAGCACATCTGTTTGAAGCAGCACATATGTTTCCAATTTGTGAAGTAATTTTCACATCTTACTTATAAACAAAACAGAAGGTTCAAGAAATTATGGTGAAAAGCATGTAGGCACAAGAGAAGTATCATAAAGACTCTAATCCTGTCCTTCTCCCTTCTGTTTCATGTTAAAACTGACACTAATTCTACTGAACGCACAGAGCTGAAGTGCAGCTTTCTGCACTACTCCCCAGTGGCAATGACATGCAAATGTTGTCACAAAGTTGATATTCTTGGAAGCACAAAATCTCTTGGGTATTTCAGGAAGACTTAAAAAGAACAACTTTTAAAAATAGTGATCCTCATCATTACTGCTACAACTGGAAAGGTTCGATACTACAGTTGGCTTGCCCTTCTATGTAGTGAGTAATGCATCCACAGTTAACTACCTATAAACACCTGTGAGATAATGATTCCATCAAGTACTGGTCTACAGACTTACAGGCCTAGGTGAAGTGCTTTGAGACCAGTATCTCCAGCCCTCAACTGGCATTTGCTTTAATGCAGATGTAAATGGCCTCACAAATGAGAAGACACAACAGGGAAAGATGAATTCAAGAAGATAAGCATCACCAACTCTTCAAGAGCAGAGAATTAAGGGCTGATACTTGGGGCTTACTGGGAAACCAGCCAACTGGGACACATCAGTCACTACGGTTTTACTGTTGGAAAGAATTCGAGACAGCCCTAGGTTCAGGAAAATGCTGGGTGGGTGGCTCCAACAGCTGGGACAGACTCGTCTGCCAGAGCTTCTTTGGTGGACCCGTTAGGGCACTTACAGACAGAACGCGTTGCTATGTTAACCACGCTGAATTAGGTCAATGCTAACATCATCAATTATAGAAATAGACTGCTTATGAAATCTTAGAGGAGCAGGGGTTTTGTCAGTATCTTTTCCGAAGCTTCAATAGCGTGGGTGACTGATTTTCTGCAGGCTGATTGCCCTCAATTTCAACAATGAAAGTAAAAACAAGAGACTTTTTAGCTTGGTGTCAGTGAATGACCATGGTAAATAACACAGAACTGTTACATTGATTAAATGGTGAATGCTTTCATGCAGTAGAAGCATCAGATAAAGCACATTCTGCATTTAGTTTGTCCTGAGAAAAGAAGGATCTAGGTTCCAGATCCTGAAAACCATGGTAAATAATACAGTATTAAAGCTATTAAACTTTCTCAGTTTAAGTAAGGTTCTCTTCAGCTGCCACAAAAAAATAATTATAAAAATATTGTTAATCTTTCTATTGTGCTTTAATTAAAAACAAAACAAACAAAAACAAAACAAAAAAAGAGCAGAGGAATTCTATGAAATCAAGATTTCTACTTAAAATATTGAAGGAAAAATATTTTTCAATGAATTAAATATTGTGCTTTAACAAAATATTGTGCTTTAATTAAACAAAACAGCACAGAAAAGCACAGAATAATTCTATGAAATCAAGATTTCTATTTAAAATAAAGGACAAATACAAATGAAGTATGATGGCTGGGGGCAGCTACAGTCTATTGTTAGCCATTTAAGATTACTTCACTGTCCATACAGCTGTCTGTCTGTATCTTGAATCTTAAGCCCCTCACCCTTAACCATAAGATAAGGAACATAAAATTACAGTCCAAGCAGTGGCTAGCTCTACTGCTTCTAAATAAAGACTTATGGGAACAAATACACATTGCAAACAAAACCCTAAGCGACGCTGAAGCAATCCTAATCGTAACCAGCTCTTCCTTCATAGCTCTGGTTTCATTATGTAAACATATTCCAGTCAAATTTTACAAATTATATCAACAAGTCATTATTTTCCCCTCTTTCCCCAGGAAAATTGTGCAAGGATAACTGTACACATGTCCATGAAATAGAGGATGTCATTTTATTGGAGGTCCACAGGTAATTGTATCACATTAGGGAGTGGAAGAATTCCGTGGTATGGCACAACACAATACCTCACTCTAAACACTTAAACAGAGGGTTAAATGATATGCAACATGATCAAATCAGTAATTCTCCATCTTCTAGGCACCACTGATTAATTTAAAATAAACTTTCATAAATTGAAAAAAGAAAATTCATGTAGTCCATTAATTCCTTTGTTGCACTGTCTTTAAGTGAAACAGCACTTGAAAGTCACAAATAAAAAAAGCAGCACTTTCTCTTAATACCAACACCACTGTAACACATACTGTAGCGTGGCATGCAAATCCTTATCTGCAGTCTTTTTTTTTCTTTTATTAACAAATGGAATGGTAATTTTCTATCTCAAATATTAGTAGCATAACATGTAAGTGCAGATCATTCTGGCCACAAGTGTGGTAAGCCTTAACAAGTGTGTATTACAAGAGCATAGAACACAGAGCATGACACTTGCACCCAAGAATCTCTCTCTTTTATACTGTATATGGTGTTTGTTACAGGCTGACTTCCAACTTGCTGTACCCAAGCTTCAGGAAACAAGATTATTGACCACTTCTGGTTCTGTTTAAAAATAAAATGCAGCCACCATCATAGCACAACCATTAACCACCTGATAAAAAAAAAATGCCATAGCTCCACTGAAAAAAATAACTTGTCTTTTTAGTACACTCCATTAGGCAATAAAGTTTCCATTGTAGGCATGTTATGAAGTCTTACAGTGGTACTGCAGCGTCATTCCTGTTAAGAAGATATTTATATAGCCACCAAGAAATGGTGCAATATTCAAAAAAGCTGTTCAAACTGAGCTAAGCTTCACGAGACCACGTACTGAGTCTTCATGCAATGAATCCTGGCTGGCTAGACTCAGGACGTGCATTGTATGGCTGTGTGCAATAGGACTTCCACTTGGCAGCATCCCAGGGGGTGATGGAGCTTCTTCAGGAGTGAGAAACTGATGACCTTCGTGTTCCTCTTTTAATGGTATCATGTCTGTCAAACCTGTATCTGATGTGAGATTTGGCATAGAAGATGGTGGTGTTGGTTGCCCTAGAGTTAGACTTGCACAAGGCCCACTGATAGAAGTCTTTCCTGGTAAAGGTAGCTCTTCACTAGTTATGCTTGGCTCACTCTGTAGTAGGGGGGTGGCAGCAGCCTGCAAAACGAATTTAGTGCTCTGAATGCACTGATCTTGGTCACACTGCAGAAGGGAAGAGTGTCAAAATCATGTAAGGCAAACACAACAGAGAAAAAGGGAGAATATGGACAAAAAAGTATGGAAAAGAATGGGATATGAAGAGAAGAAAAGAAAAAAAGAGAGCCATTAGTATCATTCCATGGTTAGCCACCCAAAAGTCCCATTGCATGCTGCCCAGGAAAAAAATAAAATAAAATAATAGCATGCATAACTGAGCCAGTGCTTTGGATTACTATCACAGTAAATGATGATAAACATTTACGTGTTCACTTATGGGTTTTGGCAATCCTGAAAATAGCATTCTGTGAGTACTGTAATTCAGATACTTTGCATATTCTTGTTCTAAGCCATTTGGAAAATCTAGTTGCACAGACCATGTGTAACTAACTGCATTGGGCACCTCAAAACCTCCCCAGTTCCAAGTGAGCTGAATCATTTCCACACTACCCATTTTATCCTAAAGTAGATAGCAGTCCAGAGAGGTACCCAAAGGCATAATCAAAGCATTTTTCCAAGTTCATAAACAGTAGGCAAGTTATCCTTTCGTAATTGGTCTTCACATGTAGGAAGTAAGGTGCTATGGAAGTTTTTCTGGAGAATCTCTTCGATGCAGGCAGTTTTATAAAGAAATAGCTAACAATACAGCCTCTATGAGCAAAAATTCCCCCCCACCCCCCCTTCCAATTTAATACATTATATATACACTCTAGAGAATATACCATACCATTGATTTCTACACACCAATACTCAGGAGGATGTGTAGAAATCTGGCAGCACTGCAGATGCATTAATTTGATATCAACTTTAATGATTTTTAAGCTGTTTCTTGACAGTGTGAAGAATCAAGGTACAAACCACAGTTTTTCTGGCAAGCGCTTTCACAATAACATGCCAAATTCAGCATTATATAAATCTGATTAGGCTCAATGAGTATTACCAGGAACACTTTTCCTCTACATCATTCCTAAGAACTGTTTATACAAAATTATCATTAATTCATTGAGGTGACAAGACAGGTGGGCGTTTCAATGATGTCCAGCTAGCTGAGTAGTACACCTACTGCCAGATTCAGTTTCTTTAACACAAACTAGCATGATTTTTGAAAGCTTCCAAGGACAAGATATATTTAATTCATAGCCTGATCAGCTATAACGTCTGCAGATTTTCAAAACCCTGTTAGATTCACTTGCCATACTATTGCTCTGCTGTGCAAGAGAAACACTACAGTTAATGAAGACATCTATAAATTCAATGCAGCAAAGAAAATTCGGAAGCAAGCAAGCAGAACAAAAAAATATATCCAGAGGTAAGATATGCCTGTTCACGGTTGTTATTTCAAGGATTCAGTTAAGCAGCATGTTCTGCCTTTCAATTTATTTAGTCTGTATCAAATTACTGAAAGATATTACAAATCCAACACCTGTTCAATATATTCTGAATCATTACCATTGCTACTAACACTATAGCAATTCCCCAAAAAGCCCATTTGAGTTTAACAAGCCACTGTGATATACTCTATTCAAACTCATGGAAAGACTTTTGCTTACTTTACTGCATGATGAAAACCATCACTCTGATATTTTTAGGTTCTCCCATTCCACCACTGAATAGCTTAATGATAGATGCACACACATTACATGTAGGAAGCATGCAAGCAGACTACTTGGTCACAGTAGACAGATAGTATTCTAAACATGTCTAAGCATTTTAGGACTCCCAGACCAAATACTTTGACAGGCAGAAGTCCGATCCTTACTCCATTACATATTTTCCAACACTTATGTTTTCAGTAAGATAAATGCACTGATATCCTGTTACATAAACTGAATTAATATATGCTGCAAACCATCTTCTCCCCACAAAATAACATACAGCCCCAGACAAAGAATTTGGTAAGAGGTCTTGTATCATTTCAGAGGGATTACTCACAGGCTTAAAGTCAAAACATTGCATAAGTACCTTACTAAGAAGAAAACTGTCAGCATCTTTTAAAGTCAATCTTTCAATTAGTAATTCAGTGTGAATAACTCTTTCTTGATTAATATGTTGTTATTCACGCCTGCTTATTTCAATTAAATTACAGCCCTTCAACCAGAATTACTCTGCAGACCTAAAAAAAATCTTTTAACTGAGTTTTCAGACTTCAAAAAGACCAATAAAACTCATCTTCTCTGAAATGCAGTAGCCAAAGAGTGTGTTAAATAACAAAGAAATGCTTAAACCCACCAGGGTACACTGAAAACAAATAACATCTGACTTGTTGTCTTAGTGAAGCTTCAACACTGATCTTCATAAGGAAATCATTAATGTGATCCAAGCAATACAAATACATAGTTTTAAATTACCTGAAGGTAATCTATTCGAACTCATTCTATAGCCTGAATTAATTTTCTTCTTACCAGACTCAAGCATATTTCAACTGAATCAATATTAAAAAGACAAAGTAGCCTCATAAAGCTCCATTGAATAGAGCGTTATAAAACTGTTTCAGGCACTGCATATCTCCTCTTCATTTTGCATGTACTTGTCACTTCCTTAAAACCTCTCCTCTTATTTAGATACATTTCGGGTTTTCTCTTTTTTTGTTCTATTTCACAGTGATCAACATGAAGTATCTTAGGAAAATACAGGCTGTAAATAGCTTTTGAAAGTGAAAAAGACCGGGGTTTGTACTAGAAAAGTCAGATGTGTTCAGTGAAGCTCTCAAAAACATCTGACAAACCCAACACATACTATACAGCTAACCTACTCTTGAGTCTAACAGCCAACACAAAATTAAACAAGAAAAATTAAATTTGTTTATAGGGTTGGCATGGTGGTTTTCCCTTGATTCTTTATTCCACTGTTAACTAAATGAAATTTATTAATCACATGAATTATTCCATGCCAGCATTTCAAATTAAGTAAAAAAGCCAATAACTGTAACAAAAAGGAAGCCAAGCACTGAAATCTAAATAGCTAAAAATCTACCATAGAAATTATTCCACCAGTACATTCTTACTTCAGATCTACTGATTTTATCTTCCACTTAAAATTTCCACTGTTTCAGAGGAACAGCAGATTCTGAAGGTAAAACAGGTTTAGTAAGTTCTGCAAGTACAGAAATTCAATTATTTATTTGAATAGAAATTTAAGCCATCTCTGCATTTATTTTCACATCAAAAGGCACAAATCAGAACAAATCAGACAAAACCTAAAATTGTGTTTATTTCACAAATAATAAATATAAACAACTAAGGAAACAATATTTTTTCATTTTTTTCCTGAAGAAAATCTGATTTTTTTTCCTAAGCTACACAAAACATACACGTTAACATAGCTGTTGTACATGGCAATATATTTTTCACATTTCTAATACCGAAGTCAGAGATTATTTACTTTGAATTTTAAATTAATTTTGTTAAATTTTATCTCAACTCTAGTAACATTAAAGAATTGTCCTCAGAAGACAGAGAAAAGCAGTAGAACTGTCTCAGCAGCTCTGAACAAAGTAAAAACCAAGAAGTCTGGAGGAGACTGTCAGCCCTGAATGACAGTGCTACAAGGTAACAGAAAGGATGCTGGAAAACCATGCTAGATGGCTAAAGAGTGGAGGGATCGAGCTGTGTAACAGTTCCCACCAGCTGTAGGATTTCACATTCGAAATCATGGTATTGAAAATACTGTGCAACAATTGAGCCACAAAATCCACCAAGTCAATGGCTCCACTACCAAGTGGTACAGTGCAGCAGGAGTAGATCTATGAGGTGAAACATTTCTGAAGCCAAACGGGAAATTACACCTGTTCCAAGGATTCTACTTTTTCTAGACTAGCTCCTGTCTGTTCTTATCGACTATATATTTGTGAATGGTTAGAGCATGTTGGGTGCATTTCAGAAGCCCATCTTCTGACAGAAATCTAGTTCATGTGCTCCAATACTGCTCTGCAATGTGAGCAAATAAGCCGTAAATATGCAGTTTAAAGAATTGCTTCTGAAACATACCTCAATCCAAAGCAAAATGCTGGTTTGTTTACTACATTTTATTTGTGTCCATTTTAACTGTGAAGTAAAATGCTTAAATGAAAAACCTCTATCAACCTTGACTGTAGTAATGTTGAGTTGATAAGAGCACTAAATTTTGTTTCAGGCAATGATAAATTGCATTTGTGAAGTACAGCAGCAAATATACAAGGAAACACACTCATAAAACTCCCAGCAAAGTGGGGTTCTTATGGTTGCTGACCCTTTTACTGTAATGATAGAAATATTTATTCCTAATAATGACAATAGGAAAAGCAAAGGAAAAAATATACTAGGACGGTCAGAGTTAATGTTCTCTGGATCAACTGGATTCCTGTTTCCAGATCAGTGCTAGAAATACTGATGTGAACATTTGGGAGAGGGCTTCTTTGCACCCCTTGCTGATAATGAATGTTGTGTATGCTATTACAGTTCCTACGATTTTCAGTGATACATATAAGTAAGAAACGCACTCTAAGTAAAGAATTTACATCCAGGGAATTTGTCACACAAGGAACTACTTAAGCACTGGGGAAGAGATGCCTGGAAATGCAGGAGCACAAGCAAATTTCTTAAAAAAATCAAAGAAATAAACCTGTCCTGACATAGAGAATGATAGAAGCAAAATCTGCTACTTTATAAGGCATTAGAGAATTCCGTAGTACATCCTAGTAAAAATAAACCAAACAAATTCCTCTAAAAAAAGTGCACAGACTGAAATTCTGTGTTTCTTCATAATGGATTACTAAAGAATAAAATACCCTTTACCAAAACCCAAGAATCAGCGCAGGCTTTTAAGAGAAAGCTAAGTACCACAGAAGTGCAGATCCAGGCAATGGCGGATGATGAGTTTATGGTGAAATAAAGAACTTTTTTTTCTGAATGCAAAGAATATAAGACTTAAAATGAAAGAAAAAAAAAAGAAAAAATACAGAGAAAATTATGATTTCATACAGGCGAAAAATTGTGTTTCATGTGAAAAAAAATTCTTAAGAATGAGAACAGAGATACATGGGCAACCAAACTAATGAAGAGATTATAAAAATAATAAAATGCAATAGGGAAATACTTTAGAAATATCAGGTCTACAGATCCTATGCTCCAAGTGACCATGCTTGTCATGTGCATGTGGATATTAATAAACTGGTTAATGAATTTACCATATTAATTTCAAATGTGTTGGAAAAGAGATTAAAACCACAGGGGATAAAAAAGTTGTATGTGCTTCCAGCCTTCAAAAAAAGTAAATAACAACTTCAGCTTTTCATAAAGTCAGGGAGATACTAAGGAAAGAACAGGAGAAAAAGCTCTGTTATAAAGATTTCGAAAAAAAACCACCACATAGTATGGGTCTATGAAGCACTGGTTATAGCAACAACCCTGACTTTCTGAGGTTGTGAAAAACCGAGTCACTAGCACAAGTAGGGTAGCTCCTCTATGAAATATTCAAAATCTCAAAGGCCAAATTACCACATAACATGTTAAATACAAAAGCAGTGTTCCATAAACGGTATCCTGAACAAGAGGTAATGTATTGCACTAAAAAAAGTATCTGGTAAGTTTAAAGTTGGCCTGATATTTATTTTGACCTTAAAAGCAAAAATGATACTATGCTATATGATGTATTAAAATAAATGAAAGCAGAATATAATACTAAGCAACCGAGAGAGATTTTAAGAATGATGAGAGGCTAGTTGGGTGAGGCACAAGAACTCTACTTAGCATACCAGTCACTGAGTAAAAGATTTGAGGGAAGTGAAAGGATAAAGGGAGGTGAAGGAACAGGAATAAGAGAAGACAAGTGTGAGAGAAGATGTTCATTAAAATCTTCCTTTAATATTAATGGGCAGGAGAGGCATTTTAGTATGCTATATGCAATAAGCAGTATAGCATCTAGACATGAAGATTCAATGTAGACATAAAATGGTGTAATGCATTCTGGAATAAAATCCAATGAGACACAATATCCTGGAACACACTTCAGATTTCTGAGAATTTATTTCCCATACTCAAAGCATTAAACTTGCTAAAACAGTGTAACTATCTCCGATGATATGCAAATAGCTAAACCTCTGCCATTTAAAAAATACTTATCAACTTAGGCCACGGTCTACACATGCTTTCAAGTCAAGCAGTTTCACCTTGGCTATCTTATCTGAAACCATAATAATACACCCTGCAGCAGCAGATACATCCCCTTCAAACTTGGCAGTTCTTTGTTGTCTACCTGCCTCAGCTACAAGTACGTGTTTTTAACTTTGTGCCTCTGCCTTTTTCTCAAGAGGTATGTAACCTTCCAGGAGGAAAGATTGAATCATATTCCATCTTTTGCCTAATCTTTATCAGTGAGGACACAAGATAGAAAGGAAACCTTTTCTTCCACAAAGACTTTCCCTCTACTTTTTTGCTTCCACTGAAGTCTTGGGCTTGAGATGGTCTATTATTTAAACTGTCAATCACCAAAGGAAATTTTCAGGTTTGCATCTGCAGTTCTTGCAGGATTCTCTTGAATCCCTTTTGCTGAGATTTCTCCTCAAAAAAACCCACCACCAATTAGAAATCAAACAGTGGAATGCTGCAAGCCTTGTTTTACTTCTGCCATAAAGTGTACTTTACTGCCTTTCACTTAAGAACTTTCTACGGCTCTTCGTATGAGAGAGCAAGTGAATGGCTGGTGTTCCCAGCACTCCAGTTCCCAAACTTCTTCAGAAGATTCTAAGATTGTGGACTGGGAAGAAAACTGAGAGAAACAGACACTGCAAAGCCTGGAAGAAGTACTAGGGCACACTTCATAGGAAAAAGGTTTAAATAGAATTATGAGATTGTACTTGATTATTTCTGTCTAACTCAGAACAGAAAATCTGGTAACTAAACAGAATGGTGGAAAACATCTAAGCTAGCAGTAAGATGAATTAATTTTGGTAGGAAAAAAGAAAGTCTGTTATGGATAAAATTGTGATAATAGGTTGATAAGATTGTGAAATAGGAATATCAGCTTTGTTGGTTGCTGCTTTATGTGATAGGAGACATGGGAACCTGAAAGGCACAGAGTATACTAAGAAGAACAAAACCACTGACCTTAAAATACAGAAAAAGGGAAACATTAAACAAGAGCAAATCAGAGGCAAAGTTATGTCCCACTGCACTGCTGCCAGCAGGAAATGAATTTATTATTTCTTATGCTTCAAACAACTCAGGAAAAACTGCATGATTTGAACAGCAAAGACTGAGAAAGTAAGCTGGTCTTTAACAGTTTGCAACAAAACACAAGGGAGAAATTTTAATGCTGATAGCCAGCTACTGCTAGAAGCCAATTGGTCTTGGATACAGACCAGGATTAATACCCTGAGAAAAATGGCATCACAGTCTTAGAGATATTCCTATATATTGAACATGATGTATTACATTTTTCAAGCTTTTCCTGAGAGATCATTTTCAGGAATGAAGTAAATTAATACCGTAACAGATTTCTCCATTTCTAAAGACAAATTTTGTATTAAACTGGCACAAGATTTGCTCATTAATACCTAGTAATAATGACAGTATCTTCTTACAATGCAAGTGTAATTCATAAAATGCTACAGTAATTTAAAGCCAGGGACTTACAATATGGTTTAGTGTGAGGTGTCCCTGCATACAGCAGGGGGGTTGGAACCTGATGATCTTAAGGTCCTTTCCAACCCTAACTATTCTATGATTCTATGACTTACTGTGGTTAACAATCTGCACAAATAAGAAGCCTTGACAGAAAAAGAAAATTCGGCTAATGCCTGAAAGTCCTCAAGCTATTTCTAAGGTTCACTTTCTTTTCCCCCTCCCTCCCCTTTTCTCTTTATTGAGTTATGTCTTTTGGGTTTTTTGAGTTAAATTTCAATGGAGCATTACTGTTCTGCTCAACTACACCTTTCAGAAGATTCAGAGTCAATACTGCGTCTCTTAACACATTTTCTCACTAAGACTAATAAATCTTCTACCTAGTCCTCAAAATAAAGACTAAAACCAGCTTAGGAACTACAGCAAAATTTTTATACCAGTTTATCAGTGACACTAAATCTAATCTGTCTGGGAAAAGTCTTTTCTTCTTTTGTTCAAAAGAAAGGCTAAATTATCTCATAAGGCCTTGGGGCTGCTTGTTTTTTGGCAGAGGGAGGGCATCCATAACTCATGGTTTCTTTGACAAAGTCTTAGAACCCACATAATATGAAGATCTGTGACAACAATTCAAAAATAGGCACATATGCAAGATGCTTTCCTTTGGAAAAAGTTCTCTTTCCAGTTATTTTCTTCTCCTTGGCACTAGGAATGCTATTTTCCATTATGATAGCCAACGCAACCAGTAAAAAAAAAAACAACCCAGAAAAAAAAAACCACCAAGAAAACCCCCACCAAAACCCAAACCAACTAAAAAAAAAAACCCACCAACAAAAAGAAGTAAGAACTATTGGCACAGTTTCAAAGATGCTTAAAAACTTCTATTGTTACAATCCAGTTTCCATTTTTTGTTCATTGGAAGGTCAGTGTCTTCCTGCTCTTTCTTCAAGGTACTTCTCTCCTAGAAACCTCCTTTGTTCATCTTTGGTTTTTAAAATGCAGTAGTCTATGCAAAACCACAGTGTACAAGCACAGAGGAAATAGGTTTAAAGAAAGTGCCATATAAAACAAGAATTAGCTGGAAAATGATGAACCCGAGCAAGCCCATGACACTTGAATATTCCAGTTCAAAACACAGCAGGTGTCAACAGTACAAGTCAAATGCCAGTACCTTCAATAAATCAACAGTGTAGAAAAGCCTCTCTTTTTTTAGAATCCATGAGCAATAACTATTACACTGCATGAAACATATACTAAAAAGAACCTTGATTTTTTTTTCTTTACTGTTAATAAACAAGTCATTCCACCCAGAGAGTCAGCTGTATCCAGTTAGTTATTACTTGATTAGTTCACATGAAAGTGGAGAAGGAAAACATTCACAGGAATCTTGATGAACAACACTATGGGATGATTCCTACCATGTTGCTCTGAGATTGTGTGGCCCCATACATAGTAATGCCATTTGCTGGTCCTGCTAATTGCGGTGTATCTGGATGTATAAATCCTCTTCTGTCAATTAAGCTACGGAATAATCAAAAAAAGTGTTAGAGATATTTCTGATCAATAACTAGCTTGCCTTGATAAAAAGGCAGGAAAACTTTCTATCATACAACAGACATTAATATCCCACCAATACCTTCAAATGTCCCCTTTTACTCAACTGAAGTACAAGACTTCATTTCCACCAGCCAGCAAGGTAATTGTTTCCTTGTAATACTACTGCCGCATAGTCATACCCACTGCTACTTTTCTGGATTTTTATCACAGACAAAAGATTTAGAAGCTTAGCAGCAGATACCACAAACCCCAAACATTCTAAACCATGGGTGTGAAAATGAATTAAAAAACTCATTGGTGCACTTTGAGTCAGTATCTGTTTTTAAGGTTCTTTTGTTATCAGTTTCCACACCTCTAAATTAAAGCTACATAATCACAAAATTTAGAAAGAAAGGAAAAGGGGAAAGGGAAAAAGAAAAAAAAAAGGAAAAGGGAGAGAGGAACTTTTATTTGAACAGCTTACTGTAAAGTAAAAATCTACATCAGATTATTAAAAAAACATAAACAGAATGGAATAACCTGACCTAACTAAAATTTTTGCTAAAATTACACATATAATTGTACTTTCAATTTGAGAACTCTAAACCTCATTTAGGTTCTGCTTACTCATAAAAAACTGAATGTGCAGACCTAAGTACTATACATGTGTATTAGCTCATATCGCTTCCAAAAACTTGTTTATGCTTCAATTCATTCAAAGTTTCAGGAGTTTTTTCATTTATTTTTTTTTTTAGTTATATCTAGCTTTCAATTATAGTTCCATACTTTTAATCATAGGTCAAAATGTTTTTTTCCTGTGACCTGAACAATGTTACTTTCCATCTAGAAAACTATAAATTTCACAGGATATAAATTGTAACTGCAGGGTTTATAGTTCCAGTTACTAACACATAACGACAGGAGTGCCTTAAAATGCCTGAGAGCTAAAGTCAGAACAGAACTGGTTTTATTTGCTGACTTATGTATCAAAATTCACTAAGGGTCAAGATGGCTTCAATTCTGAAAGATAAGAATAGGATGCATAGAAAAATCTAAGGCGTTTCCCCTCTCAAAAGCCAATGAGGTTTTCACCACTTGGAGACTGGTTTAAGCTTTCCTCATGAATATCTGCTAAACAGGTTTTTATTTACATTCAAAGCACTTAGAAATCCACCTGAGATTACAATCTGCCATGTGGACAGCACGCCTTCAAAAATCAGATGCTTAAAAGAGTTATATGAACTCTCATATCAGAAAACTGCTGTCCATGCTGACAAGTATGGATCAAATTAAGATCTAAAATTACTTGTTGAGGACATGTGAAATGCATCTGAATTTGCTAGCATACGTTTAAAAATGAGAAACAATGTTTAACAAAAGGGAGAAAAGCCTGGATTATTTATAGATTCTTTCTTCGTCTAAAATGTATTTTACAGGGTCAGATCACTAGCTTACTTTAACCACAATTCATCACCTTATCTCTTTACTACTGAAGAAAAACTTACTTAAAGCTTCTAATGGACAGTGGAACAAAACTTTTTTTTTTTTTTTTTAATAAACTCAAGCAATCAGAGTATTTTTTCATCAATAATCACCTGGCTTCATTTATACTAACAATACTTTTGATGTTCTTACCTTGGAGAGAGGGGCCCACAGAGTGCAGCACAGCAATTTGTAAAGATGTTGCCATAACTATATGGATTATAGTTTTCTTTACCTCTTTTATTTGACCATGATCCTTTAATCTGAAGAGATATGAACAAGATGCATCACATATAATACAATAAAGAAAACAGCTGAGACAAATTTAGGGCTACCAAAGCAGCAATATGCTACTTACATCAGAGGTAGACCAGATAAAACTTGTAGATCATGGTAGACCATGATCACACTTTCCAAAGAGCTTAGAGCTTTGGGCTGTAACAAAAAGCTGGACCCTAAAGTCTTACAAGCAAGCACATGCTTTACATCCATAGGTTTAGACAACCCAAAATCTCAAAGGATCAATAAACTCAGGAATTTCAGTATCTAGACATAATGGTCTAAGGTTAATTTTACAAATATTACAGCATGTCCTACAGAAGAGGCTCAACTGCAACATACCATTAAAGCCAGCAATAGAGCACTTCTTTCCCATACTCTTGGGTAAAAGTTCTCAAGCTATGCAATACCACAAAACATTATCTTCCCTAAAGTTCACAAATGGCTTTAAAACATTATGAAGCAACTGTAGTCATTACTACCTTTTAGCGCGTATTACATTTCATTTTAGCTATCTTGCTTTTCTGTTTGTGAGATACTTGAAAGGACTGAGTAAAATGTCTTACTTTAATCAACTGGAAATGTATGCTTTAAATGAAATTACTGAACAGTTTCCTTGGAATTTAGACAGGTTAGACTGCTGCAGTTCCCTGCTATCTGGCCTTCAACAGTCCAAAAGACACATCTATCTGAGGGGAAGAGGGATAGTGGAAGTACACTGGGTCCACCTAGAGAGACAATGTTGGCCTAAACCTAACAACTGAGGAATACCAGAGTATCTCATCTGTCTTACTAACAAGGCACTTCTTCAAAGACAGGCTACTTGCTCAGATACTCGATGCTGAGGCACAATTCATTCTGAGCATGCTTGGCAATTTTTTTCTGGTTGACTGGTATTACTGTAAAATTCATAATTTTAGCCGTGACCTTAAACAATAACAAAACACGTTTGATGTTACGGCAGAAAATTACAGTAAAATAGCTTTAAGCCTGCAGTAATTTGTTAGATTACTTGCTAAATTCCAACAAGCTTTCTATACTATCAGCCACCTAACTTTTTATTTTCTCCTTTCATTAGTTTTGCATTTCCCCTTTTAGCAAGGGAAGGACACATGAAGCCTCCACACAGTTACTCCACACCAAAACAATGGAAACCTATGTGCGAAACTGGTTGACTGTAGAAATGAGAAAGCTGACCTTTAAATTAATGACATACTCCTTGCCAGAGGTTTTAGATCTCAGACTGGCAGAGACATTTCAAAGGAAAAATGAAGAATGAAAATTATGTTTTGAGAATTCGACTCACTTTGCCATTTTTACAGTAAGCAATTTTTGAGTCAAAGAATATTTAGGACTCCCAGTGAAAAAGAGATACTGAAAATTATTTAGTAATTTCCTACTATACAGAATATACTTGGGTTTTTTGTCTCCTCTCTTCTATTTTCTTATTCCTTCTCTATATTTTCCTATTTCAAGATAAAGGTCCAGTGGATGTAAATCACAGTAGACACGCTATGCAACCAGCATATCTTCAAGAGATATAGTCCAAAAGATGTCTTCTGCTATTTTGAATCAATCATGACCAGGTTTCTTCTTTCTTTCCTACTGAGGGATTCACAGTATGCATGTGTGACTTGTCTAAGAGTAACAGAGAAAAACCTCCTCGTTACTATTTAGAAACATGTATGTAGAAACATATCTTACATCTTCATTTGTTGTTTGATTGGAGCTGATCAAATACGTATGAAAACCTGAGAGGCCAACAATAGACCATACTGAGAAAAAACACACCACAGCTTCCAGCACAGTAATTGAAAGTCAAGGAAATACATATAAACCAAAAAAAAAAGAGAAAAAGAATACAAAATCAAGTAACAAGTAGTTACATAATTCTTCAGGATTATCAATTTATAGCACACAAGTCCCTTTGGGGTACTTCAGTGGGGTCAGCAAAAATTATTTTCAGTAGGCTTGAGTGTACAGGCTACTGACAGGCATCTACCCCATCAAATATTTAAGAATCTGCATATGGAAAAAGCATAGAAACTACTGATGAGTTGTTCTGATCTTTACTGCTGAAAATCAAATGTTCATGTTTACCCCTTAAAAGTCATCACACCTAAGACATAAATTGATATACAATTGATATGTTACAATAAATAACAGTTCTGATGGGGTGAAGGGAAGATCAAACACTAGACGTAACCCAAGGCTAGCTGAATAGCAAAGACTGAAGCCACTACTATGAGTTCTAGATCTGTGCTCATACATACAGCAACAACAACAACTGAGCAAACTGCATCTCTGTCATAACTGCTAGACTATTCCTGTCTCTCTTCTGTTACTGAAGTTAAGATGCTGATAGTGATCCTAACTCTAGTGCACTAGTCCGAGTAAAATATAAAGTCCACCTGCTCTCTTGGTGTGGGGTTGAATCCTCAATACTCAGCAACATTTGCCCCAAACTTATGCTAAAAGGAAGACTATCAACTCCCAAGTCACTGTGCTGCTATTAAACAGTATCTGAGGAATTATAAGAAGTCTTTTTGAAGGAGGCATCAGCCCAAATTGTAAGAAAATAAAAAAAAAAAAATAATGGCAGAAGAACATTTGAAGGGGAACAGCAGCAGTCAAAACTTAGTTTGGCACAGCCATAAATCACTCTGCTGGCATCTACCTAGCCCAGAAAGAGCACCCTCCCTGTCAAATGCTGTTTGCAGACAGACAGCAAACTGCCAGTATGGGGTGCAACTTACAGGGACCCACACCTGAGGCACGTATATGTGTCCTCATGGAGTGCCTTCTCACCTGCAAGTTGTAGGGAGCAGGAAGGTACACATACAGCAAGAGGGTAAACATACACCTCCAAGAAAGTAGCGAAGATATGCACATGCATATGTGTGAGCACCACTAGAACTGTGTTCTCACTCCTTATAAACTGCATTACCCAAATGCCACAAAGTAACCAGGCTTTAAAAGTGAGACTGGTATACTAAGAAAGTCAGTGTTGCATTGTTATTACAGTTTACAGCATTCCTTTAACTCTAAAGGAGTCATCATTTTAGCAATAACACAAGTTGCTTCTAAACTTCAAATAATCAAGCATAAAGAGCAACTTTCTGTAGAAGGCTCCCTGCCATAGCTTTTTATTTGCAAGTATTTTTATTTCCACCCAAATAGTCATGGACTGAAGACTGCATCAGCTTTGAGAATGTTATATTCTACAGCATTTCAACAGTAATTTTTTTAAAAGGGAACATGAATCAACAGCAAAAAAGGTTTTGGTTCCTAGAAAAATAGATACAATAAATCAGTAGGAACAAGACAATGGGAAAAGAATATGGTAAAAATAATCCGTATATTAACCATGTATCAACACTTAGTGAAGTCAGTTTCCAAGACAACATCAACTCAAAATATTCCAGAACAAGAACACAGCCTTAAAACATACAAAACCAGTCTAATCACTAAGCCTAACAACAGAAGAAAAATATGACAGCTTCTCACCATTACAGAGACACAGATGGTTGGACAAAAGTTTTTGTGATAAATAATCCCAGTATCAGTTAGGTTTTATATTGCAGGTATTCTCACCTAGTGAATTGGGAAACACCTGAGCTGTCTGTATAATTTCCCTCAGAACCTACTTCACTCAAAATGGTTTAAAAGCAAGAAAACAGCTGTGTGCATTCTAAGCAAATCTGCTCCAAAAGCAATAGGCAGATCAACATGCATTGCTGAGCAGCACGTTCACTAGCCTCTCCCTTTTATTTCCTCCTCAGACTATGGGGAGTCATAGTCAAACAAACAAGACAGAAACTCAGTTGACTGTGCAACAGCCACAGCTAAAGCAAAGAGAGTAAGAGAAAATGAATAAAGCAGTAGACTGTTGTTAGCAGAGGGTTCAGAAAGGTATAAAGAAGGCAATAGCGCCAAAACATTATGCACAATAAAAACAGGGCTTTGATAAGGTACAGATATTAAAGACAGCTGTAGATTAGCACAGTTGGGTAGAGTCGGTACACCAAGACTAAGAGGAAGAATCACAGGCCAGAAAAGGGGAACCTTAGAGGGAGAAGAGCTCCCTACAAACCTCAGATGACTGAGCACTAACAGGCTATTCCTTACCATGATTACCCTCAAGAGGGTCCTGAGAAGCAGGTTTCTCCCTCCACACTGTAATCCCTACTGACAAAAAAGGGGAACTCCTTTCAGTTAAAGACCTCTTTCATTTCCCCACTGAAAAGGACTTCTTTCCCCAGGTAAGAGACTTGTATTTCTCCACAAAAAGATCTCTAGAACAGCATGTTAGATTACCATGACTCCATTAATTAAAAACCAAACACAAAAAAGCAATATATTCTCAACATAAAGTATAACTTACTAGCATAATATGGTATAATGCTCCCTTGGTATCCCACAAAGTGTTGTTAGCAAGCTAGAAATGGCAATGTTCTGTGTGCCTGAATTGACTTGCTTGCTCCAAAGTAGCATTCCCAATACTACTTGGACAATTTATCTTTTTACTGTTATGAATTGTAACCAAGCTATTAAATTGTCCAACATATCACTATCAAACGCAGCCATTTCAACAAGATGCACTACTCAGCCTTTCAAAGCAGCACATCACTGAATACAAATGACAAATAAGCAGCCCATTGTTCCTGTACAAGAATCCTCAATTACCTTTTGATTTAAGGAAAATTGAAAGCTATTCTCACTTTGAAAATAGTTCAAAAGAATCATCTTTTATAGGAATTGGCTACAATTGTTTTAATTGGAAGCTACTATGCTATTTAGAGCAGTTTGGTTTTGCTTTGTAAAATTTCTTCTATGAAAAACACCCTAAACAACGGCTTTGTTTAACAAAGGAATTTACAGCTCAGTGACTCAACCTGACGAACACATATACACACAAAACTGTATTTTCACAATTTGGAGAATCTGACACTTGGAAAAACTAGCTGGAAAGTGAGGTCTGTCTTTATGCACAACTACAAGTGACAGAGTAAGAGTTGTTGCTACTCTTTGAGGAAAACAGCAAACTTTGAGGCACATGGAATTCTTTTAATGTATCTTTGTGAGAAGTGCAAACTGTTTATTCAGACACAAACTAATCAAAACATAGAAGGAGTAGGATGGTTACAGCCTGTACAAAAATGTGAGGAAGACACTAAACAGTAGTTCTATCAGCTTCCACTTTTGACATTATGCTAGCTGCTTTTGGACAAAAGGAGCCTTTTCCATCCTCACTGAGTAGAAAATGTACAGAAAGCTCCTGTAAAATGATAAAAAGAACATGGAATATTTACAAAACAGAACCACAGAATGGTTTGGGTTGGAAGGGACCTTTAAAAGTCATCTAGTTCCAGCCCCCTGCCATGGGCAGGGACACCTTCCACTAGACCAGGTTTCTCAAAGCCCCATCCAGCCTGGCCTTCAATACTTCCAAGGATGGGGCAGCCACAACTTCTCTGGGCAACCTGTTCCAGTGCCTCACTATCCTCACTGTAAAAAACTTTCTTCGTTATAGCCAACATAAATGTACTCTTTTACAGTTTAAAATCACTGCCCCTTGTCCTGTCACTACAGGCCCTGATAAAAGGTCTCTCTCCACCTTTTCTTATGAGCCTCATTTATATATTGAAAGACCACAATAAGACTCCCCAGAGTCTTCTCTTTCCCAGGCTTAAAAACAAGAGTAGTCGCTGTGTATATGCATGTGCATACCATTACATAACCTAACAGAAGCTGATACTTGAAAATGACTTCTGTAAAAAACAGTAAACTGACATAAGAATACTTCCAGAAATTGAACTCTTCAGGCACAGCTTATGGTTTCAGTCGTTTCACAATCTACTTTTTCCATCCTGACAAGAATCAGCCATTTTGGATAGTTTCTGCTGCAAAAGCAGAATAATTACTGCATATTTTAAATGAAACCACAGCATGATATATATACTGTGAGATAAATTTACGAATTCCATCACAAACATATGGAGCATATTTCCATCACAAATGGCAACTACAGACCTTTGTCAAGAGTCCTACTCTACAAAAGACAGAATAGAAAACACCCCAGGCTATAGTCTCTTTCCTACCTCCTACATGTGGCAAGAAATCCTGCTTTGCAAGAAGTGATGAAATCACTAACTGATAAAAGTCCCAAATGCCCATATCCATCAAAGCAAGAAAACAAGCAAAACACATCTCAGATGTTATTTTGCAATAAGATCTAAAATTTGTTCCACTGAAAGGATATCTTGCAGGACTGTCCTTCAAGGCATTGAGGAACCCTGTTTGTTGAGAACCTGTAGAAACAGAACCCAAAATTACCAGCTGAGTAAGAAATTGGACTACAGGCTGCTTTCAACATAGATAACACAAGTAATATATGAAGATAACCAAATAATCATAGATTTACTAACACGAATCTGAGAATACGTTGCTCAGCAGCAACAACATCAGAAAAAAACTTGGGTAAGTTATCAGGTTAACATCTGCAGGGTATTTTCTCAGTCATACCACAAACTGATAAACGCATACGTTCCCATGAACAAGATTTCTGATTATCCCTGTTCTTTTCAGGCCTAGATTATAAATTACTTTTATATTTTGAAATACTATTTTTCAAAGTGCTTTTTTGACTTGTAAAATTTATTCTATAAACCCAGATTGTCAGTGTTCCCGCCTCTGTTCTGGGAGCAGACAAATTCCATAAACTATAATCCTGCTCCTACTCCACCTGCACAGGTTTTTCTAGTAAGTGCTTGCTGCCTCTGGGCAAGTAAGAGAAAAGAGTAGCTGAAAAAAAGCTCAAGAGCAGCATGATCTAGTGAACTAGAGATGTAGAAGCATCTAGGAAGATGGATTCCACAACCATGAGATATTAATCAAAAAGAATAATTTGACAATTTGCCGATTGCAACAAGTTACTTTGCAGAAACTGACTCAATGTGATACAGCTACAGCCACATAGTTTGCATTTTACTGTATAACTTAGATGATTTAAATGCATCAGGCCAAAAGTCTTTCCCTCAACAAAAAGCTTCCTCTTAGCTAAATTCACCTGAAGATTTGTATGAAGAGAGAAGACTCTTGTCTTTAAAACAAAAAAAGGAAAACACGTATGTGTGTGTGTACACACATATATATTCTCTAGCCCTGCATGGTCAATTTTACTGTTTGCCATTAAGAAGTGAAAGTTACTTACCTTGTATTTCTGAGCCTTTTCAGACTCTCATAACTGATTCTTAGCCTCAAAGCACAAGACTAATGGAACTTCCCCTACCTTCTTACAATTTTTTAAGATCCTTAATGGCAGTGGCAGCAGGTAGGTGTGATTTCTATTCCCTACTGCTTGTCACACTCCTCCAAGCAGTTCCCAATACATCAAAAGGGGGTGGCTCCTCACTGCAACAGTTGAAATACTGATGCTTCAAACAGAGCTGTGTGACTGTGAAGACAGACACCACTATTGAAAACGTCTTAAGCTTGGGGAGATGGAATAAAATCTTGCAAGACAATACCTTTAAACTATCTGATTTATATATTCGTTTTATTATCTTCAATAACAATACGTACACATATTTTTAATCCTGGAAAGGGAAGATGTCCAACGAATGCCTCAGGTGAACACACAAAACAAAAAGATGTATCCCCCATCTTGTCACCACTTAGGCCCAACAAAAATTATAAAAAAGCCAGGTTGTAAGATGTATTAAAACCAGATTATAGGATAATAGGAACTTCCCTATTAGGGAATGAACCAAGCAGATTTATTTTTGTTGTTTTTTTTTTTTTTTTTTTTTGTATTTTAACGTCAGTACCTACAAGTTGCTATAAATATCCCTCAGTCCCTTCCTAAATGACTATTGTCAGAAGACAAGTGTTACTAAAGGTAATCCTGCTGAGATTGTCTTCAGAAAAGCTAAAAACAAGATTTCATTAAGCCTGCAGGATTTCCTCTAGAACCAAGAATTTTGCCAGGACTTATGCATATACATATGGATGACTCTGAAATAGCAGTAAGATTATAGTCCCAGGATTTAAAACTGAGACTTTATTCAGACACGCTAACAGAAAGCAGTCTATGCCAAGCGCAAAGGTTCAGGTTAAAGAACTGAGAATCCTGCTTACTGGTTAGCATCAGCTGAAGAACTGCCTGGCTGGAAAACAGAACAAAAATGCTTGAGTGGTAATTACTAGAAAGGTAGATATGAGGACTTCTAGAAATATGGTAGGCACAGAGAGACTGGAGTGATCAATATAATAAGAAAACCTTACATGTAAAGAATTCTTTTTTTGGATATAGTTAAGATTATAGAAGACAAATTTGAAAGCCAGGCTTGAAGCTCAAATGTAGTAAACAAACATTGAGGAACTAATCACAATTCATACCTGCTCCCATTGCCGTTGAGGACCAACCTCATAGTTGGTCTATAGAACTAAAGAGGTTTCTCCTGTCTCATCCAAGGTAGATAAACCTTCACAGCAAGAATATTTTACAGCTGACAGACAATTCAGCATTTAACATTTACTATACATTATCTGTAACACATACATAATGCTGAAGTGCTTCTCAACCACACAGAGGCACAATTAATTTCTCGCCTAATTCATACTTAGAAGTAGGTATGGACACTGTAAAGTTAAAATCCACTGGATAAATGCACTTGACATACAGAACACAAAATCCTGGCATAATATTGGTAGTTCATATGCTGAAAGCTGAGGAAAAAAGAACTGTAGTCTTTGTGAAATAAAGGTAGGTTAGCTTCAAAAGTAGCTTTACACTGTCAGACTGATAATGTTTTCAACTACTGAATTCTAGCAAAGTAAGATGACAGAAGAAACCCCCATGCTTCCTTCTTCAATGTAAAAGGTATGTATATATATACTCAAGTATGCCCAAATAAATGTCAAGAATTTCAGTATTAATGGAAAGTGTTCTCTTTCCAAAAATTACTTTTCCCTTTTTAAACAGTATGTACATTTTATCTCTGCTCTTTCAACTGGTATTAGAAATGCTTTATCTGTCAGTGAGAACAACTTGTTCCAGACTCCCTAAGAATTAGGCGCCCGTACTTCTAGCCTAAGTGCTATGTCTCTGAGCTATAGGAGAACCACTCAGTGCTTTGTATCCTCCTTTCGTGAAGCACAAATAAAAGCAGGAGTTCTACTTTTTAAAATACAAATTTCCTCTGCACAGTGTAAGCAGTGTAGGGAATTGAGCATTATCCAGCTTATTTTTCAGAAAAACATTTTCTAAACATTGCCGTTATCAAGTTTGCGTTACAAATGTGCTGTAAGCTGAAATTATTACTTCTATCAGGTTTCCATTATAATACAGAACACAAAGAAATAAAAAGATCACATTTCCAAAATGATTCAAGAAATACTCTTCAAAGCAATATCCTGTGTAATTAGTGAAAAGACAGAACACTTAAGCTTCCTAGAGATAGAATTAAGAGACCCCCACAATATACAAAAGGTCTTCAAAGAAAAGTCTTATAATCTCCACCAGAAATTAGATCATTGTCATCATATAGCAGGTAACAAAGTTGTTAGACCTGTGGAAAAAATTAGACAGTACCCACAAGAGTCTTGACCTCAAATCCAAAACAGAATACAAATAAAAATCAATCTTAAACTTATGAATATTCATCTTCCTATAGCTTATTCATTCCATTATGAATTTGTTGTTCTCAGAATGTCTATGCAAATGAAAGTAACTTGTGTTGAAAATAGGGTAGAGAAAGATGTAAAACTAAACAGCAAACAACAAAATGTGTAAAATAGCTCCAATCTATTTTCTAGTAATTTCCGTGTTTGTTCTGAAGGCAAGTGACGCATGCTTACATTTTAAAAAGCATGTAAAAATTCTTTGAGAAAATAATACTATCTGTATCCTTAGACATACACTATGTGTGCTGCTTTTCCATTTAGTCACCCATAAAAGGACAAAAAAAAATTAAGAAAATTAACACTATATTAAGATACAGCCAGTGCTAGATCAATGACTACTACGACTAGGGTCTGCTACAGACCGGAAATGGGACTTACTGGGGATTGTGAAGCTTCAGAGAAAAGGCAAATAAATAAATAAATAAATAAACCCTGAATGATCAAAAGATTAACTTAAAAATAAAAAACTCAAGCAAATGGCTACATACGTAATCTGATTTCACCAGCATACTTACGAAGGATGACGTGGGTGATAACGAATGCAAATATAAAGACTGTCAGAAAGGACAGAGATAAAATAAACATATAAAAAAATCTGTAGTTTCTTTTCCCCACACAGTTGCCTACCCAGGGACAGTGGTGATCAAACCGTTCTGAAATGAGAGGCAGAAGAAAAAAAAAAATGGAAAACGATTAATAAAATGCTCTTTATTTGGAAAAACCTTTCTGAATACTATATTAAAACTCATGACTTAAATGGCATTTGCAAATTAGCCACAGAGAAATTCTTATTTAGAAAGGAAAAAAATAGAAAAAGAATAAAAAAAGAAGTATTTTAAGGAAAACCTCACAGCTTTCAAAGAAATCAAAGCATGGCTGAGGTAAGCTCCTCTTAAACTAACAACATTATTGTGATAAATTGTGCAGACCAGTAAGCAGGTATTTATCCACTGTTACATTGAGCAGTACAACTACACTGTATTTTGTATTTTCAAAATAGGTTCGGTTTTTCTTCTTCCAGTGACTCTTCTACTCAAAACTGTTTTGATGTTGATTTATTTATATCTGTCATGATCACACTTCTGACTTATGTCTACTATCATCTCATCCATCCATTATAGTATATGAAATATTTATACCCTCCCACTTTAGTTTATTGCTTCACTCAAAATACTGTCATTCCAGACCACCTAATTTTCCTCTTAAGATTTGACACTGCCACACAGAACTATTATAAATAGCAAAATAATTCACATAAACTATTTATTTATCAAATGATAAAATTCAGGCAATTTTACAATTTGCTTATGCTTTTTTTGGGTTTGGGGTTGGTTATTTCCTTAAATAATCTATTCAGTCTTGCAGGAATTTTCTGTAAACCACATGGTATAAGAAATGGTAGACGTCATCTGAATGCTCTGTTACCCTTTGTGCTATAGCCTCCCACTTTTTAGTAAATCAAACCCTTTCCTTTTATTTGCCTGAGAGATTAACTCGTTCATGAGACAGGAAAAGGTCAGGGTAGGTCAGAAATGAGTGTTCCCAAAACAGGGGAAATGCCCAAGTGCTGGAAAGCAGCAGAGGGAACAGTTCACTCTGCTTCTCCCCAGGCAGCCTCAACTCCCCCTCCCCATCCATCCCAGTATGCTGGGAAATGGAAACAAACAGGCATTTCCTAACTTTGAATTGGAGAGATTACACTGACAGAACAACAGAATTTTGAATTTTTCAATCAAATCCAAGATCATCAGACAAGCAGATGCTCTCATGCTGACTCACTCTCTGATCCTTGTCCAAATCCTGTTTTGTTTTCTTGACTTTTATGCCTCCACTGATGTATGATATCGAACTATATGTAAATCCACAGTAAAGGCAAGCTATAAATTTGAAGTCCTTAAGCCCTATGTTTAAATGGCACATCTGTCCATGCACAACAGTTTATTTTAGCTGTGGTTTTAGGTTAAAGACCTACATCACAGCTTTTCCTTGAAGGATGTATTTAGTATTATCTTAATTTTAAAAAGTCAAAACAACATGCACAACAGATTTCTGAGTTCACCAGACTTTCAGGGGGTTTTAAAGTGGCTTTGCATGACAGCTGTTTGGACCACATGTTTCTGCCCTAAATCTGTTTCAAATTCCAGTGGGGGTATACAAGGTGAAGTTACTGAACTTTCTTAGGATAAGGCTTCAGAAATACATTGATTCAATGAGTACTGCTAAGAAGAAGAACTAAACAAGAACTAAACACTCTGCTATTTAAAAGGCCATGCGATACTACCTTTATTCAGTGCAATACAGTTGTATTCCAAAAATAAGCTGACATCACATTTGAACAATGCTTATTTTTAGATTTATGCTTCTGAATGAGTTCTTACGTTCTGATAAACACTACACTTTATTTAATGGGAACCTAATACAACATATGAGTGAATAATGACACCAAGAAAAATACCGTTAGAGAGCCTTTTAAAGAGCATAATTCTAAATTACTGCTTCAGAAAAAAAAATTATGACATGGCTTTGGATGATAAACTTTGTATATACACATTCATGCTATTCTATGCTGACACTGTGAGAATCAACAAGTTATACTGACATAAAGCTCAGTCTCTAGCCATACCTAGATGTCCAGATACCTTAGACATCTATTTGATGGATTCAGATAAATGCAAACAGAAAAATGCACACATACAGACAAACCCCTGTCTATAAACATACGTACTTCGATATATACATATATATTCCTTACTAAAGGTTGACTTTATAATCTTAACCTACTTGACACCCCTCTCCAATTTCTGTCTTCTAAATTCTGTGGTGAACTGAAAGGCTATCATTTCTCAATATATACCTTGCCAATCATTGTGAAGCTAAGAAGCTACCTAAAATCCTTGTAAAGCAGAAACGGACAGAAAAGGCTGAATATGAAATACACTGCTGCAGTGTTAAATCTGAATCAACTCTAATGAAAAAGAAGTATTAAAGGGTTTGAATGGTTGTTGCGAATTAATAAACTTGGACTCAGTTTTCTCAGTCATAAAATAGAAAGGGATGTGATATTTATGTTATATGACTCAAAAGCATAAAGAGCAAGAGATTAATCTACTCTGAAGAGCATAAATATGTAAATGCAAGTTAAAGATAACAGCCTTACAGCTTGTGACCTGCTCTGCTTGTTAATACAAGAGAAAACAGCCAATCCTGGCAAAATGAACAGACAACTAAGCAGAAACTTCTAATGCTGTTAAGAAATACAAACTCTCTTAAATCTACAGCTGTTCCTTCTTTCTTACAATAGACATGGCTTAGTAAGTCTTAATGAACAAATAATACATTAACTTAAAGTTCACCTCCAGCACTCCAGATGCCTGCAAACTGAACCACCAATGGTTTGAAAAAAGTAAGCTCTGCCTGACATCCCTACTCGGCTTGGACAACGCTGGCAGCAAAATTAAAATTTACCTTCACTGAGAAATGAAAAACCTCTGATGAGGAGAAAGCCTGGCAATTACAGCCCTCCAAAATTTAAAATGCAGAGCAAATAGAAATGTAGCTCATTGTTATGAAGAACAAGACTGTTACAAGGTGATGACTGCAGTTCTGGTTTAAATTCACAGGGTATAGTTAATGTATTGCTGAAATTAATCATACATTCATGACAAAGTTAATGTAAAAATATTTGAGGCAAATGAAGAGAATTAAAACGTTGGTAATACAAACTATTGACAATAAAAAGTGGATTAAAACTCTCAATCAGGCAGGAAGCAAGCTGCAAGGGCTGAAAAGCTTGCCTATGGAAGCATCCCATGGATAGAAAAGTAGCAATAGACCATCTCCTGCGCTCAATTTTAAGCAAAAACAGCAACAAGGTATTTGTATTGCTAATGTATTTGCCTTCAGAATGTGGTATGACATGACAGCTATACCTATGTAATTGAGAACTACAGCTAAAATGATGGCCCAGCTTCTCCCCTTTTTAGCAGTCCTGTGAACCAGTCTCTTGCCTCTGTGTTCCTGGCTCTGCATCTTAACACCAAGTCTGGTGTTCATTTTACCCTGTGGGGAGCTGGTTGACAGAGCCAGATGAACTTAAAACTATGGTTAATTTTCTGCTGCCTAGCTCCCCGACTAGCTCATCACAGTATCAAACACAAAGGCAGGCCCAAGTGAAGCGGTGAGAACACACTGCCAGAAAAGAGGTGAAATGATCCTTTCAGACACAGTTAAGTGTTAATTAGCTTAGCTGTAACACCAACTTTACTACAGGTTAACGCTTATCAGGACTGCAGGAAAAATCCAGTTTTGATTACTTTTTCAGGGTCTCAGAACAAAAGCTGAAGCATACAAAAAGAATATGTACGAACAGTTTATAAAGTGAAGTATCAACGAAAGCAGGAGGTGGGTAAACGGAGACTAAAAATGCTGTTTGTAATGACCACAGAAAACCAAAGAGGTAAGAAACCTCAAGAGCTGTTAGTAAACCTACACCAGTGACTTTGTTTGACTAGTCTTTCCCGAGTGATCAGCAACTTCAAATTTGGGTAATAACTCCTGAGGATAGCCAGTAGCCCCATAACCAAATCCAAAGGGTGAGGCTTTAGCAGACAACTGAGCCAATCCAAAAACTTAGTAGCAGTGAAAGAGATGACGACATGCTGCCTTCCCTGCCACTTCATCCCACTTCCTTCTTTAACTGTCTAAGCTGCTGATGAATCAGTCAGGTCAGTTTTCTGAACTAGCAGGAAAGAAAAGAACATTTTTATTCCTTGCTTAGTGAGAAAACCTGACATACCCATGGCTTTGTGTTACTAAGGGTTGTGTGAATAGGAACAAAGCAGAGAATCACAGAGGCGGGGAAAAAAAAGAGGATGAAGTTCAAGCAGCAAACTGTCAATATGACTCACTGGTCTCATTAACACTTACCTAATAATATATGCTAAGTAGATGACAGAACAGCATACCAGTTACATCATACCTTAGACGTTTCTCAGTTTTTACCTTCCCAAAAATACATACATTTGAAAAATTAAGAAACATTAACTGCTGGATAGCTCAGATTAAAAGAGAACATTTCCCATTTTAATAAGCCAAGTTCTTGTATATGGAGCGTTTATAGTATTTGCTTCAGAAGCCAAACCAAAGCATGTTCCTTTTTGTCCAGAATGAAAGAGTCTCTACTTTTCCACAGCACAGCATGTAGACTCTTAAATCCTTAAATGTTCAGCTTCCATTTTTTCAATCACTATGCTTCAGGAAACCACAGACAAAATGACCCCAATGCTCCCTTTACTCTTTCAAAACATTTAGCAAAAGCTTTATAATTTACAACGAACAAAAAAGCATTTTTACATGGAACATTTTTAGGCCAGCTTGGCTCTTCAGCTTACAGCTTTTCCCACCTGTTCACACTGTGATCTCAGAAACATTTGTTATTATTTATGAACTGCTTTCTTCTTCCTTTGCTCCACTGGATCACTGCACACCAACATACATTTTTCTAAAGCATAATGTCAATGCAGGTCTCAAAGACAGAAAGTGTATTGGTGCAAAAATATCTAGGTCAAACTACTTGTAGACTCCAATGAGCACAGGTTAGAACTGACTTGCTGATTTTTCCATCCCACTGAAGTAAAGCATTGTAGGGTAAAGA